GCGTCGTTTCCTAGCTCGGCACCGGTGCTGGCTCTAACCGTGCGACTCTTCTGTCCCCGCCAGGCTTGGACCACGAGCTGGCCTTCTCTCGGCTCATCGTGGAGCTGCGGCGGCTGCACCCAGGCCACGTGCTGCCGGACGAGGAACTGCAGTGGGTGTTCGTGAACGCGGGCGGCTGGATGGGCGCCATGTGCCTTCTGCACGCCTCGCTGTCCGAGTACGTGCTGCTGTTCGGCACCGCCCTCGGCTCCAGCGGCCACTCCGGTCAGTGCTGGCGGCGGGCCGGACTGGGAGGCTGGGGGTGTCCAAGGGCCCCTGCCCTCCTTTCTGTTTGACCGGCGGATACTCTGATATGCGGTGTCCATCTGATTGTCCCGCAGGACGCTATTGGGCTGAGATCTCGGACACCATCATCTCTGGCACCTTCCACCAGTGGAGAGAGGGCACTACCAAAAGCGAGGTCTTCTACCCAGGTGGGTAGGGAGGTCCTGTCAGAGAAGTGGCTTCCTTCCTGTGGTATGCTCATAGGTGGGGAGGGCGCCATGGCGTGGGGAAGGGGTGCATTGAGGGGCCCTCTCCCCTGTCCCCCGTCCTCTAGATAAGCCACAGGTAGTAGTTAGTTGAGGTAGGACTGAGGGCTCCAGTTGCTTTCCTCTGTCAAAAGGAAACAAAACATAAGAGTTTCCTGTTAAATGTTGTCTGATTTTTATCTGCTAAGACACTCTTTTTCTCATCCATATTCCAGCAATTGTTGGGGAAACAGTTGGGTTATCAGAAATGTTTTCATATCTCCAAAAGCAAGGCAGACAGTTGTCTTCCTTTTTTTAAAAAAAAAATCCTCACCCGAGGATATGTTTTTATTGATTTTAGAGAGAGAGGAAGGGAAAGAGAGAGAAACATCCATTGACTGCCCCCCATACCCACCCCGACTTGGGATCGAACCCACGACCTTTTGGTGTACAAGACGGCGCTCCAACCAACTGAGCCACACTGGCCAGAGCTGTCTTCCTTTTTTTAATATAGTGAAATATTTTACATAAAAAGTAGAGGTTTGGATTTCCAACTAAGTTTGAGGTTGTGTTAAAGCAGAGCAGGCATTGTAATTGAACAGTTACATTTCTCAGAAAGCCTCACAAATCTTATACCCACCCCTCTGTATCTAACTGGCCCAAATTTAGCTAAATTTCTGCTTGACTTGACGGAGGCTTGGGAATGACTCCTGTACAATGGCTCGTAGTCAGTAGGTGCTCCTCCTTGGCTTCCTTCAAGAGAGGACATGAGCCAGGTGATGCCACGGGAAATTTAGGAGTCGCCATCTTGGCCTCTTACCCCTCCAGATAGAGGACTTGGCCAGTGAGGTCAGACTTCTTCTTTTCCTTAAACTCTCCTTACCCTTAGATAGCCCATGGGGCCAGGGAGGGGGCAACAATGGAAGGGCAGGGCTAGGCTCCTCATGTGGGTGCTCCCTGTCCCCTAGGGGAGACAGTGGTGCACGGGCCTGGTGAGGCAACGGCTGTGGAGTGGGGGCCAAACACATGGATGGTGGAGTATGGCCGGGGCGTCATCCCATCTACCTTGACCTTCGCGCTGGCTGACACAATCTTCAGCACCCAGGACTTCCTCACCCTCTTCTACACTCTTCGCGCCTATGCCCGGGGTCTCCGACTTGAGCTCACTACCTACCTCTTCGGCCAGGACCCCTGAGTAGCCGGGCCTGAAGGAGGACCTGTGGGTGGACAGGAGCGGGCAGGCCCGCACACATCCACTTGCTGGAGCCCATGTGAAAAGATGGACGTACAACATATGTGGATACTGAGTTCCTGGTATACAAGTAGGGACATACATGCTTATACCACCAAACACAGAGACTTATGGGAACATATGGGACACACATTTAGATCATGAATCCCCATGTATACCAGGGGGTCCAGTCATGTTCAAACATAACACAAGCTTGACTCATTAACTCAGGCCTTTCTAGAGCTTCCCTACCCCCAGTCAGAGCTCTGGAGTTAGGGCTGGTGGGGTATTATACTCTGCCTGAATTTTACCCCTCAACCCAGCAGCAGTTGGGGAAAGGATGTGGAAGAAGAGGAGTTGCCTTTGGAGGTCCCCTTCACCTGCAGCTAGGATGTGCTTTCCCTTGATTGCCCTGTCCTCACCATATGCCTTACCCCTGCTCTGTTCCCCTGCTATGCAAGTCCCCTCGTGGCCTGTTCCCCACCCTCTAAGCACCCAAGTCAGTTGGGGAGCCAGAAGAAGGGAGAATGCTGAGGTTAGGGTCTCTTCCATCCTGAAAGACCACCATTCTTCCCTCAGGAGTATGGTGGGGAGGCTGACTTCAGCCTAGGGCCCACCCTGATGGGAAGACCTGAAGATGTGGGCCTAGATCCAATGGATCATCCCTGTCCTAGAGAGAAGGCCTTTTCTGTGCGTACACACACACACACACCCATCACACACCCATTACAGCTTTCAGACACTGCCTGCATTTTCTGTCCTTCTGACTCTGTTAATAAAAACCTGTTGAACAGTTCCATTTCTTTGTGTATCTGAGCAGCAAGAAAACATGCTGTGTGATTGAGTTTATGAGACACTGGCTATATACCTTAGTGTGCACAAAATCACCCAGGAGGCTCACTGACCCTGCAGATTACTGTGCCCAATCCCCAGAGGTTCAATTCTGGGTTGAGACCTTGAGATCCATATGTTTAATAAGATCCTCTACACACGTTTTGAATGTGACAGTTTAAGAAATTCAGGGCTGGATGAGGTGTGTATCTTGGTCTTGCCTCTGCCATTGCAGGTCTGGAAACAGCCCTGAGAGTCCTGCCCTGGATGGCCACGAGATGGCAGTGTGCATCCACTTTTGAGCTGAAGGAGGCCTAGTCATTCTCCATTTGCTTGCTTCTGGGTTTCCAGGGTATCTTGTCCAGACAGAAGTTTCTCCAGTCTGCCTTCTCCAGAACCCCTCACTTCTATGGGGAGGCTCCTGGCGGTGGAGAGCAGGTGGTGTCTGAGGGATTGTGAGAAAGAGGTGCCCTAAAGTGTACTCCCAGCGACCCTGCACTTGCCCTCTTAAATTTTGTGCTCTGGTTGCATCACTTGTCCCATCCTGCTGGCCCTGCTCTGAGGGTAAGGCCCAGATCACTCTTAGAAAATGGTGAGGAACATGATTACAAAAATTGTGTATTCTAAAAAGTTGACATTCTAATGAGCAAAACTACAGGAGACTACATGTATAACCACTTGTAAGCAACATCAAGTCTAAATTTGTGGCTCTGAATGAATATAAGGCCCAGGCAAGATGGCCATCCTGACATCTGTCATGGCCACCACCATCCTGGCCATGACAGAGCCTGGCTGGGGCCTCGCCATAGATCATGGGTTGCAAAGTCAAGCATTCAAGGACTTCTCCCACCCTATAACCCAGCTCTGCCTCTAGGCTCACCTCACATCTATCAGGGATGCTCCCGCTCCCCTGTCATCCCTCCCTCCCACTAGGACTAGGTTCCCAGGGTCCTCCCCATCTCTCTTAAGCCCAGAAGTGTTTCTTCCCAACTTTCATTTGACACAATCACTCTTAAAACACTTGTTTTCCAGTACATTTCTCCTTTGCCTCCTTTACTAGATCTTAACCTGTCCAACCTCTGTTGACTTGCCAGGACTTAATCCTCAAACATCTGTCTACACCCCTCCCATGTGCTCTCAATCATTTCAAGACTTTAAATAGTATCTATGTCTTCCTCACTCCCAGTTTTATTGAGCTATAATTGACATATCACATTAGTTTAAGGCAGTGGTTCTCGACCTTCCTAATGCCGCGACCCTTTAATACAGTTCCTCATGTTGTGGTGACCCCCAATTTCATTGTTACAAATTGAACATAATTAAAGCATAGTGATTAATCACAAAAACAATATGTAATTATGTGTTTTCCGATGGTCTTAGGCGACCCCTGTGAAAGGGTTGTTCGACCCCCAAAGGGATCGTGACTCACAGGTTGAGAACCGCTGGTTTAAGGTGTACAACATAGTGATATACGTATACATTGTGAAATGGTTACCACAATAAGTTTAGCACCTCACAGTTACATTTTTTTAAATGAGAACTTTCAAGATCTACACTCTTAGCAACTTTCAAATATGTAATATAGTATTAACTAGTTACTATGTTGTGCATTACATCTCCAGGACTTATTTCTCTTACAACTGGAAGTTTGTGCCTTTTGACCACATTCACCCATATCATCCACCTCAGACCTCTGGCATCTACCAATCTGTTGTTTCTAAGAGTTGGTTCTTTTTAGATTCCACATGTAAGTGAGAACATAGAGTATTTGTCTTTCTGATTTATTTCACAGCATAATGCCCTCAAGGATGAATGGATAAAGAAAATGTGATCTATATAATGGAATATCATTCAGCCATAAAAAAGAAATCCTGTCATTTGCAACAACATACATGGACCTTGAGGACCATCTATATCAGCGGTTCTCAACCTGTGGGTCGTGACCCCTTTGGCAGTCGAATGACCCTTTCAGAGGGATCGCCTAAGACCATCCTGCATATCAGATATTTACATTACGATTCATAACAGTAGCAACATTACAGTTATGAAGTAGCAACGAAAATAATTTTATGGTTGGGTCACAACATGAGGAACTGTATTTAAAGGGCCAGAAGGTTGAGAACCACTGATCTATATGTATCAACTCCTAATTTCTTGTCTCAGCCTAAACCTCTTCTCTGAGCTCCAGATATCAGCTTCATATATCTGACTGCCAACATCTCCACCTGGTTGTCTAATTGGCATCTCAAACTTAAAATGTCCAACATAAACTGATTTCTCCCAGTCCTGTACCTCCTGCAGGCTTTACTGTCTCAGTTAAGTATACTTCCATTTACCCACCTGCCCAGGCCAAAAGGCATGGAGTCATCTTGAATACCTCTTATTCTCTCACATCTCATATTCAGCATCAACAGAGCGTGTCAGCTTTATCTTTGAAACATTCAGAATCTAACCACCCTTGTTCAAGCTGTCATCTCTTGCATGGATTACTGCAGTGGCCTAATTGATCCTCATGCTGGCGTGCTGTGTGGAGGGTTCACCACGCAACAGTCGACTCAGCCTTTCACTCTGTTCAGACATTTCCATCGGCTTCCCACTCATTCAGTGTTTTTACTGCCTCCAGGAACCTACTCCAAGGCCCATGTTACCTCTGACCATATATCTTACCACTCACCTCAGCCACCCTTGCTTTTTTTTTTTTTTTTTGACACATCAAGCAAACTTCCACCATTGGATATTTGCATCTACTATTCTGCCTACAACGTTCTCTAGGTATCTTCCTGGCTCTTTTCCTCCACACCTTCCCAATTCAGTTCCTGTTCTGAGTCCTTCCCTTAATCTTTGTGAATTAGAAGCCCTTCTGTGGTGTTTTTTAAATACCTCTGTAGCCTGGCCAGTGTGGTTCAGTGGTTGAGTGTTGACCTGTGAACCAGGAGGTCATGGTTCAATTCCTGGTCAGGGCACATGCCCAGGTTACAGGCTTGATCCCCAGTGTGGGGCGGTCAAGAGACAGCTGATCAATGATTCTCATCATTGATGTTCCTATCTCTCCCTCTCCCTTCCTCCCTCTGAAAGCAATAAAAATATATTAAAAATAAAATATCTCCATAAGTATTTTTATATTTCTCCCTTTAAGAGATGAATCCTAATGCCCTTACCCTTGAATGTGGGCTGGACACAGTTATGTATTTTTTTAAATATATAAAAATCCCTACCCTCTGCCCTCTAGTCCCCCAAGCCATGCTTGTCTGCCTCTGCACATTCAGTGGTTCTCCACTCTGTGGGCTCAGCCTTAGAGAGGGCTTGACTGCCCCAGAACTCACCACATAAAACTGTGTAGGGGAGGGCATCAGTACTGGTTGGATTGGGGATAAGGACACCTATGTAATAACTTAATCAATAAAAAAAATAAAAAAAAATACGGGTTGGATCACCAAGGCTTCCTGGGGGGCGGGGGGCGGGGGTGTCTGACACTTAGGTCTGAAATCCGAGTGGGAGGACCCTGGAGTGAACCAAAGGTGTGAGCAGGACTGAGCTTCAGTGTGGCCAAGGGTGGGCCAAAGAGAGCCAGGACTTAGGACCACAGTGGGATCCAGACTGGGGACAAAGGTAGAGGCTGGAGATAGGGAGAGCGAGGGTCACCCTGGTGCCCCAGGGCAGGGCAAGCTGGGTCCGAGAGGAGAGGACTGGTTGGGGGGAGGGGAGAGGAAGCAAAAGTCACACCTGAATATCTGCCTCTTGGGGGACTCTTGGCCCTGGGAGGAATCTTGCCTCTCTGGGTATGAGGTCAGGGGATGATCTCTGTGCTGGGTCTGGGTTTGACATAGCAGTTTCACCCATGCCAGGTGTCACCCATACAGACATATGTTGTTCTCATACGACATCACCTCCAGGTGGCCCTCCTGCTTCTGGTAGGGTGATTCCCTTACATACAGGAAGAAACTGGGGTATGTATGAGGGTGCCAGAGAGGAATGGGGTCCACACTGCTCAGAGCAGGAATTGTGACCTGCCATCAGGACCCCCAAATAAGGAACAGCATCTGGGGATCATGGGGGATAGGGTAGGCCTGAATCAGTGGGCAGAAGGGGTCTGGAGATACGGACTAGGGAGTCACACACATGGGTGAAGATGGCCAAAATGCTGATCACTTTAAATGCATGATAAGCATCACTCTTTTTGTATATAAGCTTGAAGATGTCTGTAATAGAACGTCCAAAAAGCTTTTTTAAAAGACTGAAGAAAAACAAAGCAAAGCCTGGCTGACTTGGCTCAGTGGTTGATCGAGGACCTATGAACCAGGAGGTTACGGTTTGATTCCTGGTCAGGGCACATGCCTGGGTTTCAGGCTTGATCCCCAGTGTGGGGTGTTCAGGAGGCAGCCAATCAGTGATTCTCATCATTGAAGTTTCTATCTCTCTCTTCCTCTCTGAATAAAAAAATATATTTATAAAATACCTGTGTGGCTGTGTACCAGTATCTCCATGTAGCATGTGTACCTGCTGCAGGTGTGGAATCAGTGCAGAGACATCCAAGTGTGCGTACATAGGTGTGAGTCCACCACCATACGCACATGTTGTGCAAACTGCAGCATTGGGCAGAGCATGGGGAGAAGTTTCAGTTCTGTCCAGGCCTTCCACACTCACCCCAACATCCTGCGGAGTGGCTCCCCTCATGAGCACAGCCATTGGCGCTGTAGTGTCCCATGTAACTCCGTATGTGAAACCGGGCAGCTGTGTGCCTGAACTCTGACAGGGTAGGTTGGTGTGTGAACAGTGATTTGTGTGTGAATGCCGGACTCACTAAGTGTAGGTGTAGGAGCACCCTGGTCCCCAGTCCGAGAGCAGTGGATTCCTCATTCTCTTTTGCACGATTCCCACCCGCTCCCCAGCGCCCCCTCCCCCGAATCTGGCTGTGTGGAAGGTGGGAGACACCTGTTGGGGGCTGGGAGCGGCGGAGCCCACCGGG